AGTTCCAGCTACTTGGAAGGCTGAGGCGGAAGGATTGCCGGAGCCCAGCAGGTCGAGGCTGCGGTGGCTGGGAGCGGCCACTGCACTCCAGTCTGGGCGGCAGTGAGACTCCAACTCCAAAAATAAATAAATAAATAAACCAATGCAGAGCCGGGTGTGGTGGTACATGCCTTTATTCCTGGCTACTCCAGAGGGTGAGTCAGGAGAATCACTTGAGCCCAGGAGTTAATGTGCACCTGCCCTGCATTCCTACCTGGGGGACAGAGCAAGACCATGTCTCCAAAAAAAAGTCTGGAGATTTGTTCCAGGCTCCTCCAAAATCTGCAGATTGAAGTTGCAAAGTTGACTCTCAGTGTGGGCTGCATTTACATCCCATGATTGGCTGGAAATACTTGTGTGTAGATGTGACCTCACAGTCCAAACCTGTGTCGTTCGAGAGTCAACTTGTGTTATCATGTGCCCCTGTACAAGTGATTTCCTTCTGCCTTGACAATCCTGTCTTTGAGAAAAGACCCGGCACATGCACTGTGTCCTGTGACCCTCTAGTTTGAGTGTGGATGTTATGTTCCCCCACTAATGGCTGCTGGCTCTCCCTCTCTCAGAGGCCTCTCAGAACTTCTCGGAAGTGTTAGTCAAGAACCTTCGCGGCTTGTCACTTGATCCTGGAACCAAATTACCTTCTCCTCTACCAGAAGATTTACCCCAACAACGGGAGAGAAGAGAAAAAACCTTCCAGGACCTCAAAGCTGACCCTCCTTACAGGAGGAGAGGAGTAAGGACACTCTTATCTGTGCAAAAAGAGAAGCTAATAAAATTGAGATACCTGCTACTCAACAGATTTTCTGATAGGCTTTCTCCGGTGAGTTGATGTGGTGTGGGTGGGGAAGCCAGGGGGTGACACTCCCATAAACCGTGATATATGTGGTGGTGAGCAGCAGCCACTCAGGCTGGATGGAACTCAACTTTTTTTTTTTTTGAGTCGGAGTCTCACCCTGTCGCCCAGACTGTCACACTATCATGGCCGCCTCAGCCCTCCAAAATAGTTGGAACCAGCACGTACTACCACACCTGGCTTTGATTTATTGTGGAGACGAGGGCTCACCAACTTGTCCAGGCTGGTCTCGAACCCTTGGGCTCAGGCAATCCTCTCACCTCCACCTCCTAAAGTGCTGGGATTACAGGCCTGAGCCACTGCGCCTATTTTTTATTTGGAGTCTCGCATACGATCACCCAGGCTAGAGTGCAGAGGCATGTTCACAGCCACCACAGTCTCAACCTCCTGGGCTCAGGCAGTCCTATCTCAGCCTCTCAACTAGCTGGAGCCACAGGCACACACCACCACGCCTGGCTAGTTTTTTGATTATTTTAGAGACAAGGTCTCCCCAAGTTGCCCAGGCTGGTCTTAAACCCCTGGGCTCAGGCAGTTCCCTCCCCTCTACCTCCCAAAGTGCTGGGATTACAGGCGTGAACCACCACACTCAGCTGTTTTACTTTAGAGATAGGGTCTAGCTATGTTGCCCAGGCTGGTCTTCAACCTCTGGCTTTAAGCAATCCTCCAGCCTTAGCTTCCCAAATTGGTGTGATTACAGATGTGAGTCATTCCACCCAGAACTTGCTTTTAAGTCTCCTGGAGTCTCTCTCCCTCATAATAGGTGATGTTATTGTTTTCTTGATAGAGTTTTCAATAAATATTTTTATTTCTTCCCATGAAGCTTGAGAGGGAGTTAACAGACACCAGGCTTAAAGAAGTTCAGGTAAAGAGAATTTTTTTTTCCTTGCTAGACATATGGGTGGGTATATGGTTTGCTTTCTTTTTTTGTTTGTTTTTTTGGGTGGAGGGAAGGGGAATTGGCTTGAACTTTCTGAAACCCCAGGAACTTTGGGGAAACCAGTTCATGTTTATACTTTAAAATATATATCTTCCTTAATTTTTTTTTTTTTTTTTTTT